ATTGCATATATTAAGCTATAAATTTGGCATGTTTTGTATAGGAGTGACATCATTTAGTATAGATTTGGCGACAAAGAAAGTAACGGTGGTCGGAGATGTGACCCCCTTAGGAGTCCTAGCAAGCGTTTCCAAGGTGAAGAACGCACAGCTTTGGCCGTCATCAACGCCAACACCATCATCAACACCAGCTTCTCCGGCAGTGAAAATGATCCGTTACTAAAGGGATAAACCCTCTATTCGCACCTAGATATGAAAATTCTAAAAGGTATTGACCGTAAAAAATAATAATGTTTATAATGCAAATAAAGGATTTGGCCTTACTAAAAAACTAGGATTTTCATTTGTGGTTTTTAATGTATTAGAATTCTAGAATTAAACCAGAATGTGAAATATTATGGCTTGTGTTTAAATACTTCTGATGTTTAAACACTTATCATAATGTAATGTAAATGTAAACTTTTCTTCGGGACGGTTTATTTAAATATCTTAAGTTCTGTTTGTTGTGAGGGAAAGCAAAAGAGAAAATTTGGTAGTGTTTGTGCTTTCTGCGAATGAATCATTTCTTGGAACAAACGAAATGGTATCATTACAAATATTTCCATCTTTACTTTCCCTGAATTTAAAATGCTGGAGCTTAGGCTGGCATGTTTAATTAGGTAGTATCTGTTGGTATTAATTTTTCTTACCCTGTTAACTTCATCCCAGAAGGCAAGAAGATTAGTCCCCAATTAGTTCAGGTTGTGGGGGCAGATTCTGTAGCATTTTGAGTAAAATAATACTGTTACCATGTGATGTGTTGTTTTCCTTCAAAACAAAACTTGCTTAAGAACCTAGTGATCAGACAATTAGAATTTTTCTTAACTAGTGTTTGAGGAAAATATGAAGATGATGAATGAAGCAAAATGGTGTGCGTACAGGAGAACATATTGAATTTTTACTTAAAAGGGGATTACGATATTCAGATTTATGATTCCAACATTAGGGATTTACTTGATTGATAAGGAACTCGACTGCTCTATTTCTATCTTGTTGATTAAGGTTATTTGATTTTCGTGAAGACTATGAGAAACTGAATAATAATTTTGATCAAACACCATCATGAGCTCCGAAGCATGGGTACCATGCGGCATAAGAGTAGGACCCTACAACAGAACAAATTGGGGGAAGACAAAGTGGTGGAATTTTAAGCAATAAGTGACATAGCGAGACGAACTAGAGGAGTGCTGGTTTGGGCTGGGGACAAACACATAAAGTACTCTTCACTTTTTGTTTTTTGTTCTCTTATGTGTTCTGGATACACCTGTCCCAACCGAACCATTATTCGAGGGAGTACAAAGGAAGAAAATAGACGGAGCAAGTTTGGCACCAACTTGGCAATATTTGGGTAGAAAACAGAGGTCACAGTACCTGATTTATCATCCAATGAAGGAAAAAATCAAAAATAGCTAGCATGCGTTTTGGGTTTGTTAACAGTAAGACCTGCTCCTCTAATCCTTGGGTGGCATGGCATTTCATTATGC